CCTCCGCACCCCCCACCACCCACAACCACACACCCATACCCACCCCCCACACCACTCCCACCCACACCCACACCACCCACAACCACACACCTATACCCACACCCCACACCACTCACACCCACACCCACCCACACCCACACCCACACCCACACCCACACCCACCCACACCCTTTTTTTCTTACGTGGGAGGATCAGCCATTTCGAATGTTGAATAGTTGTCGATGGGATCTAAAACAGCATTCACATGGAACTCTGGATAATTTTATAGAGACGAAAGATTTAAGTTTAATCAACTGGAAAAAATTTGTGCTTGATTATCTAAGCAAAGGTAACTGACAGTTGTCTGTTAGAGCAACTTCCATTTTGTAGTCTATCTCGATTTCCTTTTTGTGCAAACAAAAAAATAAAATCAAGGCAACAACAAAAAATAAAGACGTAAGCATGTGTCCACGATCAATGTAAAAAGAATACAGAAAGCAAGTAGTTGTAAGCCACCTAAGCATGAGAGCAGATGTCAGCCTATGACAGAATCGAAATATCTTCTTTAGTTAATTCCAATCGTAAGTTGAAAATTAATCCAGAGAACTCAATATCAACCGTATTGAGTAGATCAATACAGAATTTGTCACTTAGGATGTGGGTGTGGATCTTCTGTTCACCCACACCGAAGGGGAAGATAGAGTGGTTAATTTATGATGAGGGTGGACTGAGAACATTGGTGAAGTACAAACACTAAATGGAGCTTCCTGAACGATACGGACCCTTTAACAGGAGTTTGGAGAATTGCAAAGAATTTAAAGCTTCTTGTCAAATTTTGTAAATAAATATGAAACCGTTAAAAACTCCCTATAAACATCCTTGAGTAAGTTTTCACTAAGACATATAATTGACCATGAAACGTCGCTCGAGCAATCTAGAACAGAGTTAATATATGTTTTACAAGTCTGAACGCATGAGAAGTTCGAATAGTAATTATCAGTATCAGTTGAATTCCTTCAAGGGTTATAAGGTTGCTCAAAGCAAAGTAGACGCTTATTTAACAAGATCTGTCAAAAACACATGAATTCTTGTGAGATTAATTTTTATCGGTTCAGTCTTTTCTGTTCTCTGTTACTCGAATAACACAGACTGTATGTTGCTTTTGCTCACTCGATAATATGGTTACAGAGAAAAAAGAGCTCAAGGCTTATTATAGCATTCAATCTTCTATCTCTACCACACAATCATTCGACCAATCACAGGGTTATACACAAATAGATGAACACTCGAGGGATGAGACCATGCCATTGACATATTAGCCAGGCTAATGATCGATAAAGTTATTTTATCAGTGGCTCTTCTGGACTAGCTGTGGAGTGTAAAGAGTTAATTTTTCATGATCGAAAAATTAAAAAATATAATATTGATCGAATAACTAATGAGAACGAAGTTGTTCGAATATTTTTTTCTTATAAAGCAATATAACAAATACATGCAATGACTTTATTTAATTATTATCATGACACGCAAGCGACCGAAACAATGTCTTATTATCTGTAACATATCCTTCCATTTCAACAATATTTTTCGGTAAAGCAAACCAAATGAAATCTTTGTATTTATCTAAAACATTTAATTGAGGATCTTTTTGATAATCAATAACTTGTTTTGCAGTATCATTTGCAACTAATTCAGCTTCATGAAAAAGATCATTTGACATAGAAGTATCTCTTGATTGATATAGAAGTTGCATGTGTTTATTAGATTCCGAATTAGTCGGTTTCATATGTCCATGTTCATAATTAATCTGTTTTAAACTATAATAATTTGATGACTGATCTTTAACAGATGTATCTCGATGATGCCAAACGCCTGTCGAAGGTTCATATGTATACTAGAATAAATATATTGATTTACTGAATATTAGTCAAACAATGAACATACCAATGGTAAAAATTTCCAACCATGTATTGCAAGAAATTCTATAGCATTCAAAATATAATCAATTTCTTTATCACTTGCAAAATATGATAAATTAAGACGAGTAAAACCAGGTTTCATTAAAATATTTCTTTCTAACTTATTGTTTTCTTTATCAATTCGAGCGCTAGAGAACAAAAAATATGGATTTATTTAAATTTTCAATTCAATGAAAAAATTTACTTTGAATCTTCTGTCAAAAACATTGTAAAAATTTCTGCTGTCTTATCATCGATACCAAGTAAATCCTAGGGTGTTGAATAAATTTTTTTGCAAAAAAAAAAGTTTAATTCGTTTTTACTTACTAAAACATAAGGTCCAGCACAAGCACAACCTGATCGCACTTGAATACCAAATAAATCATTTAATAGTGAAGAAACAAAATTATAATGTAAATATTTTTTAATCATTGGTACATATATTAAAAATGAAAAAATTGCAAGACGAGGAATCTTTTGTGAACCAAGCACAATTAATGAATTTGTTTTTGAAAAATATCGAAAAAATTTTTCAACTAATTCATCTTCACGTTTTTCAATAATTGCATAACCAACACATTCTTTTAATTGAAAAACTAAACCAGCTCGAATGGATCCAATAATATCTGGTGTTCCACCTTCTTCACGTATTTCGATATCATGAATATATTCAACATTTGTTCGAGTTACAAAATTAACTGTACCACCACCACATCCACATGGAACACGATTGTGAAACAGATGTTTTTTGACAACGAGAATACCTAAATACGAAAATCAAAACATGAAGTAATCATTTTGGAGTGCTTGATTTTATAGTCATTCTTTTATTTACATCAATTAGAATAAAAAATGGAAGTGGCTATGTGCATTCGAGTATAGAAAGTCACTTCCATAAAAAATGTAATGTACAAAATGCGTTTTTAAAATTGCAATTATAACTTTTGTGAAACATGATCTAAAAGAAGTGTTGAAGTATACAAGACACTGAAAAAAAAAACTCGAATTCTCGAAACTGAAGTGTATGGGTGTAGGTCAGAACTATAATCACACCCAACTCGGTAGGGAGGACGCTAGTGGAAGTATGGGATTTAGAGTGCTCCGTTAATGGAAAGCTACAGACACTTGTCGATATTTGGGTTCTTTCCGGAACCATCTTGATATTTGATTATTTGAAAATGAAATACTTCTAGCTGCTCAATTAATTAACTTTTGAAAACATTTTCAATGTAAAGTATTGAATATTTACGAAGTAATCGTAAAGAGAGACAATGTTCAGCAGAATATTCGATCAAGTAGTTTTATTTTGAACTGTAATAGTTTCATACCAGTTTTTGAAGCTGTAATTAGTCTCATTAATTACTCGTCTGTCAGATAATACTACCAGTAAAGAATCATCAATGAGTACCTAATTAACAATTAATTTATAACTAGGACTTAAACAGTACCAATATCAAAGATCCGAGGCAAATTCTTTGAAATTGGAGGTGTTATCGTACTACGTATGATGTATTAGTATCAGAGTACTTATTCGGATACCCTACTAGATTTATCTCAGTAAATAATTATTCTGATTTCAGTTTTCTCGCTAGTGACAGATAGTCCATTTTCGCGTAAGATAATATCGAGAAAAATGTGAAAGAATGGTAAGAGTATACTTTCAAATTTATGTATTTAAATTCTTAAAAAGTTTTATAGAGGTGTTAGAACAAATCGAATCCTAACTAGAACAGATTGTATGAATCAATAAAATAAAAAATTGAAAAGATATCATCACCATACCTGGTGTACCTGGACCTCCGACAAATTTATGTGTAGAAATAAAAATAGCATCTTTATAAGCCATTTCTGATGCATTCATATCAATTTTAACATAAGGTGCTGCTGCTGCATAATCCCAAAACATCCAACCATGATATTGATGAACAAGTCTTGAAACAGCATCAACATCAGTTCGAATACCAGTTACATTACTTGCAGCACTAAATGTACAAATGATATGTTTTTTAATTTCATCATGATAATATTTTAATTGTTCTTTTAATACATATTGATCAAGAAGACCTTGTTTATCATAAGGAATACGTATAACCTATAGATCAACAAACGAATCATTTTTAAATAAATCTGTTCTTTTTTTTTTGTATAGAATTTACATCAATTCCTGTTTCTTTCCATGGTAAAATATTTGAATGATGTTCAAATGCACTGATAAATACAACAGTTTTATTTTGATTTTCTTCATCATTTAAATGTAAAATATTCACAAGTTTATTAATAGAACCCGTTGATCCTAGTGAATATTAAGAACTGTAGAACATAGTAGTTACTAAAAACATAAAATTTTACCGGTTCCAGCAAATATGAGTACATCATCATCAGTTGCATTAACAGATTTTTTAATTAATGTTCGTGCTTCTTCACGAAATTTTGTTGTTTGCAATGAACAAGCATTATTTTCACTATGTGTATTAGCATATCTACAGATGACTTCAAAATTAAAATTATCTTTCTCTCACTAAACAATAAGTAATTACGCTGGTATGACATATTGTTGTATATAATTTTCAATAAATTGAAGAGATCTTCCAGATGCTGTATAGTCTGCATATATCACTACAAATATTTACAGATAGAAACGTAATATACAAAATAAAAAGCAAATAATTTTACTTTGTCGAGGTCCCCATGGTCCATTGATTATATAATCTTTACCGATAATGTTATTATCGATGTATTGCAATAGACTTATTTTCTCTAAAATAGAATCATTTTTAATTTGTTCTTATAAATTTCAATACAATGCATCCGGTTCGAAAGAAAAAAAGCTATTAAAATGTATAACTATCAAATAAGAAAGACTTCAACGATAATCTCAACATTTTTGTAAGATAGAATAATGATTGAAGAATATTGATTCTTTTTATTTTAAGTAAATTTTTCAATACTACCATCATCTTGCACATTTGAAGTTGAAGGAGATGTTAAATTGTTATTTGATAATAAAAAACCAAGAAAAGAACCATGATATGCTACTAAATTAGTGGATGTAATTTGAGAAAGATCATGTTTTATGTTTTGCACTTGATTATGAAAAGTTCGATGGTTTATTGAAGAATCAGATGAATCATTTGAAACTTGCCACTAAAAATAATAGAAAGAAGAAAAAAGTCGTTTTCTAAATTCTTAAATTTTGTAAATTAACAAATTCATTTGAAGAAATTTATTTTTTATTAATTAATTTAGAATGTATATCATTTCCGTTCAATTTGCAGGGAATATATACGTTTTTGGGTTAAAATTTCAAAAACTTCAACAGAAAAGAATTCGATTAATGACTGATTTGTCTTGTTTATGTTGAATTTCGATTTTATTGAAATTCAAATATTAGCATCGATATGCTGAACATATTTTAACCTTTCGTTCAAATCAATTCAAATGTTTTCAGTAAAACTTTTCTAATAGAAATAAATGAATTTAAAGAAGATCAGTCTATCATCTTGATCTCTCTATTATGCAATATTTTCATCAGATACTACATTTCATAAAGCTGAAAGTAATGTTTTCATATTTTCTACTCACTTGCTCATGATCATGTTCATTAGTGGCTGGATTTATATCGAGATCTGATCCAGATCTTCTAATTTGATTATGAATTTGATTGTTTTCAATCGGTAATTCCCATCTGAATTCTTTTTTCATGTGATTATTAGTAAATAAACATAATATTATTAATTGATCCAAACTAGAGTTCTTATGAAAATCTAATACATAAAAATAAACAATAAATGGGGATAAATAGTATACATCAAAGGATTCAAACTTACTGCTTTCCATAATAAAATCATGTATAGCATTCTAATATAAACAAAGAAAAGTAAACAGTTTCAATAAAAATACGAATAACTCTTTTTGATCTAAACAATTTTTTAACACTTCTGTACTTTTTTGGTTCATTATAACACTGTCCAGTGAGCCTAAATAAGTGTTGCGAAATCAATCTTATGGAGGACATAAGAATTATCTCGTGATTTTGCTATTAGTCGCATCTCACCGATGAAAGACTCAGAATGGGCGTGAAATCAGTTACACTGCGATAGGCAGAAAGAGATTATTGACGATCGAGAGTACGTACCTACGGCCGTTCTCAGGTTTCACTTTGCGATAATCCTTAGAAGGATTCAGAATAGTCAAGAATCTACCTACGTATTACTTCAAATAGCTTTTCTGTTCTTCATGGATTGACAGAATATTTCATGCCATTGTGACTGAATGTCTCTTTCAAGGAACATTATCTTTATGAAGTCGTAATATATCAGTAGGTTCTTTAAAATATTACTGAATTGTTTCATTAAATAAAGCTTTTAGAGTAAAAAAATGAGTTTAAAAAAACATATATGGCTTTTAAAAACTATAAACCGCGTAAGAGGGATTTGATTTTTACTTTATGCTTTATAAGACCATCTTAGTCTAAATTTATACTGTTTTTTACATATAAAGTTTTATTAGGTCTACAATAGTAATTACGGCAATGTTGTTTAGAATGGACATTTGGCTGTTTAGGGTTTTCTGTTAACAATTTGAATTAATCCTCAATCTTATCATAATTATTGACATTTAGAAAAAATAAAATAAAATATTTTTCTGTATATTTATTTATTTTCGATGGTCAAGAAAATGTCGCAAGTCGACGTCATTTTCCGTATACTCTTAAAACACACTAACCAGTTACGGTACAAAACGATGAAACTTAATGTAATGTATAGATTGCAGTGATCGAAATGATCATCCTGACTTATTGTCTATATTCCTTATTTATCTGTCTTTTTATCATTATCTACTTATATATTTTTTAAAGAAAAATAAATGAATCACTTACGTTCAAGTTCCAATTATGTCGATCGAGATGATTGACTACTTCATCATTACTTAACCAATTTGTGATGGACTATAAATAAATATGATAAATAAAAATATTTAATTTAAAATAAATTCTTACTTGAAAATGATCAATAATATCTTGTCTGGATTCAGTCATTGTTAACTAAACTGAAAAATGTTTTTAAAAATATGAATTCAACATTAATTTCAATCGAAAGAAGACTAATTTTTTGTTAAAATTTAACTGACATAACGAGAATTGATGAGTTGAATAAGTCAAATAAAAAACTTTCTCCGTTTAACAAAAGAAAAAGGTACTCAAATGCTTTATGACAAGATTACATAAATAAAATAGAGAACAGCGTTTTCAAGTTTAAATAATATGCGACACATCCTCGAGTTAAACTCGTGATATCTTTGCGTAAAAGTAAATAAATAAAAGAGAAAAATAAAGATATATACGATAGCCGCTCCCTTTACACGAAAAGTATGTATCATGAGTGTTTAAATAAATAATGAATGATTATCAGTCAAGTTCGATGTATTCAAAATAAGTTTATCAAATGTCAGTGCAAATGAAGAAGAATTTATTCATCACAATTTTAATTTTACTGTAATCCTTTTGTTTTTTTCGTTACTCTACTTTTGCTTCCATTTATTAGTTAAATAGGGTTGTATTAATTTTTTTCTTTTCTTCACATATATGAGACGATTGCAAGCCATTTGTACAGTTTGGCTTCAGTTTTTTTTTGAAATTTTCATTTTTCACTGGAATGATTTTGCGTATTGAGATAAATAGTACTACTAAAGGAATAAAGGAAACCGACAGTTGTCTCACTACCACCATCAAGGATAGCCGAAATTACGAAAAATTTAAAAAAAACCTACCCCCTGAGAAAAGTCGATTTTTGGTGAAAAGCATGAAAATCCAGATAAATGCAGAGGAAGATAGCTCGAGGTCTGATCTTTCAAAAATGACATGATTTTTTTTGGCACTTTGTTTTTTTCCAAAAGGTTCGGTCATTTTTTTCTTAAGAAATATGGTTTTTGTTCGATCCACGGATAAAGAACGTAAGAAAACTTATTTTAACATGAGAAAACTCGTCTTCGTCGCTTGCCAAGGTTTTGCACGTCTGGTTATATAAGCTTTTCAATTAGCTTTCGATTCATATACGATACATCTAGGTTTCTTTCTGTTTTGGTGAAAAACATCGGTTTTACTGTCAAAAAAAACGTGACGGGACATTTAATCAGTATTTTGCAATTTTCTCCGAAACAATAAAGAATTAAGAGTTGAAATTCGGAGTATCCATTCTATATTTAGCGGTCTATTTTGGCTGAAAATTATTTTGATTATGATATAGTAGAACTTGAGATACATAAAAAACAAAAAAAAACGTGACGGGACATTTAGCGAGGAAGGCGCGTTTTCAGATCTGAACTTTTTTATTTTTGATCTAATAAAAAATATTATAGATTTCTTTCAAATCGCATCTTGTTTTCTTTTCTTCGCTCTACCTTTCGGCTATAATTGAGTAGGGCTTCATTCAAATTTTCATTCCGAAAAAAACGGTTGACTGCGTGACGGGACATTTTTTACCAAATCTGTGACCACGAATACTTCGAGCAGGTACAACCTAAATAACAGCAACTTGGCTAAATCAAATAGCACATTTTCTAGCGAATCTTACGGAGATACTAATGAGTTAAAATGAGTTTTTAAAACGCCTTCTCAACAGAAAAAAAATCAGCTTAATTTATCGCCATTGGACATGCCCATGTGAAATTTAAGTGAAAAATCGACATCATTTTCGCGCTTTCCAGTGACAGATAATAGCTAGAGGGCTGATTTTAGCAGCCAAACTAGTCACATCTGTGAAGGATATTTTCTGATAAAATTGTTGAAATTTTATTGAAAATTCTGCAAGATATAAGCTTAGCCATTTTTTTTGTTCGAATTGTACAAATGGCTTGGAATCGTTTCATATACATCTTCTCTATGACTTTATCAATATCTGGGTACTCTTTCAACATAACAAAAGGCTATCATTTTTAGATCAATTCTTTAATATACTTTGGACACGCGAGTTTTGTATCTTTGTAAATAGAATTTTTGTAGTGTAAAATAGAACTAGTTATATTATTTTCAGAAAAGCTTAAATATAATCAGTCATAGGTTCAAGTTCTAACTGGTCGAGATAATATTCGATACTCGTAAGAATCTATGGATACTGCACAATTATTTGGTTTCATCACCGTAAATAAGTTCTTTCCGATGATGAGGAAATTGTGAAAGATGCATTTCAAGATCTTACCTCCACTTTTTCTACACAAATGTGCGGATATTGGTATTACTTCATGGTCAACACAACGAAAACCGTACCAATTCTCTTCCCCTACCTTCATAATGCCTTTCATTCACATCCTACACCAGTGTTCATTCAATCAAACACATATAATAGATTCAACATAGTTTTACTTTTATTCTTATTGGTTTTATTCCATTAAAAACTTACAGTTTATATAAAACAATAGAAAAAAAGCACTCTTATTCACCATATTATTTACACTTGATTTTTATCATAAATACAGAAATGAAGCTCATCAGGCTTATTTTATATTCAGATCAGGCCTGCTATAGTAGAAGAACAAGCTCTGGGTCTTAGCCTGAAAAAGTCGGACCGATGTGTTATTGTCACAGGCCATGAGTCCTGTCTAGAAGATCACTATTGATCAGTTATTAAAACTTCCCATCGATAGATGATATACGAAACTATTTAATTATTTGAAATTGAATTGAGAGAACAATATAATATTTGCATGAGTTTGCATATAATTTAATCTTAAAAACATCAAATTACCGTATCGATATGTATAACAATGGCAAAAAAGTTTCTGAACTAACAACTTTTTAGAATTAAATTTTAGTTGTACAATAAATAAGAATGACCTAATCATATCTAATATAGTTATATGATATTTTCTCAGTTCCATTTGACTTACTGTAAAGTAGATCTTTATAACAATAACCGATCCATACATATCAAAATCTTAAAGAATTATATTATTGATTCCCCGAGTCCTTAATAATCATGATATTCTTATTTCATGCATTTACACGCGTTCATAGACGGCGGACCCATTAGACTTGGGTAGGCTCGAACAAGGACAGAGAATAGGCTTGGATAGGCTTAAACAAAGACAGATCAAGGCTTGTGTAGGCTCGATTAAGTATAAAAATTTTCTATTATTGTTTTTTTTTCATATTCTTCTAATAGATGACGTATTTTTAGTAGGTCAATCCATATTTTTGCTACTGCTAACTCGTGCTTAATGAAATATTAACTGGATTTCGTTGACATCGAATTCTTGGTTCACAATATAAGACAGTTGAATTGTTTTTTGCGAACCTCTATTTAAAATAATTTTAGAATTTTAGATTGAATAACATAACTCCTTTCGTATACCGATATCAGCTAAACAAAATCAGAATAGATCATTCTTTCGAAATAATAGTCCAAGAATAGTTTTGATGAAAATCTATCTTCTGTTGAAATTTTATCGAACAGTTCCAATGATTCTAAAGGTGAACCATAATTATGCACAGAAATGTCATTGTTAGAACTAACAATAAGCTCGTCATCAGCTTGATCAAGCATCTGTTCTTATTTTCTTTCAAAGAATCAGGATAGGAAAACTTCTTTTTGCTGCTGACTAGTTTTATTTCATCCTAGACTATTTTTCTATTGCTTTTTAAAACTGCATTTCTCAGCTACTTCGTTAGGTTCTGTTGTGCCTGGAAGCAATAATGCATTAAATAGTTATCACGTTTATAAAAAAATTAAAATCTAGCAAGAAAATCTATAACGCTCATCATTATAAAAAAAGGAATACAACCACTTTTCAACCCGTTCGCATCCATGTACAAAAATTTAGGCCTGAAATCAGATTGAAATGGATTCAAAATTGATTATAATCATGCGGTTTTAGTTCATTTATCATCATTTTTTAAAGAATTTTAATTAAAAATAATCGAAAAAAAAATCAAAATTTCATGGATTATACGATTAGCTCTGATTATAATCGATTAAACTGCATAAACCGCTCGAGTCTAATTGATGCAAACCGAAAATAATCGTGTGAAAACGTTTCCATTTATCACAAAGAAAAATCAATTAAAATCGAAACTAATAGTAATAATCAATGAAATTTTTTAATTTTTTTCGCTTATTTTCTATTAAAATCAGCTAAAAAATGATTAAAAAGCAACTAAAATCTTATGATTATAATCAACTTTAATCTAACTTCAACCCTATTTTTTTACATGGGCAGACTTGGTTTGGCTAAAAAGTTGAGCGTACCCCCTAGAATGAAATCGCTCCGCCGCCTATGCACGCGTTAGAATACATATGATCTCAATATACATAATACTATCAGAAATTACGTTAGTTTATGAATTTTTCTTTTCTGTTTTATGTGATTATTAGGAAAACTTGCTCCTCATGTAATTATTCATTTTGACAACGAACAGTTATTTTTTGCTGTAGAATATCCGGGTTTTATCAGCTTAAAAAACAAATTTTGTTTTCCATAGAGACATGCTGACTGTATTAGGTAATAAAACGAAAGAAAAAAGACATTTTTATTCAAAACATGAATCATGGTTACTACTAGTTGTTTTAGTAATGTGTTTTGATTCAAGTTTACAAAACAAAAAAGAATTTAGAATTATTAACAAATGACTTATAACTTAATTACAAGAAACAATATCCACAAATCAAGGAACTAATCCTAAAGAAAAAGCAGCGTACTTTTGTACTTAAAGTTCATTTAGGTTACTTCGAATCACTTTCAAAAAATTTTAAACGACTCTGAGTTGCTTTGAGCTACTTTAAAAGTACTTTCAGTTACATCAAAGTTTCTTAATATAACCATAATCATACATTCTAAATATTAAGATTATAGGTTCTTTTTGTTTCTGATAATTAATAATATGAGATAAAAATTAGATATTCACTAGTCCCAATTAGCTGAATATTCAGTCGATCAGTCAAGATTGAGACTAGTGTATATCGATTCAAGAAAGCTCAAGGTATATATGAGAGAGAGAGAGAAAGTAATACAGATTATTGTACTATACAAATATTTTAATGATAT